GGGTTATATGATTCCTAAGGACTGTTGTACCTCCAGCATTCAAGGATCCTGCTTCTTTGAAAGTGATGGATAGATAATACGTCAAACAGTGCAATCTCAGCTCAGGCTACAAAATGTCAGAATAAAGCAAGGTCAATTTGGTTTGGCCCAGGCTTTGAAAATACATTTTTATCTTTTTAAAATGTTATTTGGCTGATCTACTATGACATGATATCTAATGGTGAACCGAACTTACTTTCTCCTACAAATCAGTGTGTCTGGTTCAATATTCTTATTAACAGGTTGACTATTTTGCCATCCCTGGTCTTGACTGCTTTCTGCTCATTTAAACTATGTTTCCAGGTTTTGATTGTATTTTTCCTTACCCAAATTTTCCATTGCAGTCCCTTTCCATGCCCCAAGCAAATATCTTTCTGTTTTTCCCTCTCCCTCTCCCACATCAAAGTTTACCATACCTTTCTGCCTACTGTCTGCCCTCATCTCCTAAAACCCCACCAGTCTTCAAGGCTCCACTTGAACCTAATTTCCTTTTTAAAAAATAATTTTGCCCAGCCGGGGATTTAGCTCAGTGGTTCTGCCACCTGCCTTGCAAGCGCAAGGTCCCAAGTTTGATCCCCAGTATCAAAAAAAAAATGTTTATAGCAATTAAAAAATAGTTTTGCCTTTACTTTTTTTAAATAGCAAAATATTTATTGGTACATTTTAGGCATATATAATGATAACCCAATTTCCTTTTTGAAGGCCTCTAAAGCCTTCAAGTTATAGTCTATTTTTTTTTAAAAAAGCTTCAACAAGTTGGTTGTCTTTGTCTTTTGTATTGTGATTTTCATGACTGTTTTGTACCATTGTTACTTGCATAAATGCTCCATATCCACAGATATTGCAAGACCTAGAAGGGAATATGAGAAGCTTATTGATTCTTTTGTTTACCCCATAGGGTCTTATGCATAAAAAGTTGTTAATTAATACTGTTTCCCTCTGAAGTAACTATTCTTAAAGACCTGCCAAATTCTGAACTGATAGGGAATTTTAACACACAACATGAAATATTACTGAAAACACAATTAAAAAGTGCTTTTAGAAGAAAATGGTGGTATCTTATTCATTAAACTGTGTGTATCTGTCATCCAGGTTTAGACAATTAAAACCAAGAAGACTGGACACCTGCTATGAAAAGCTGGTGGCTCTCACAAAGCCAGGAGTACAGCCTGTCCTTGTGTTATGTTGCTGGGGCCAAGAAATTCAGTTTTCCAAAGGGAACTGTAAAATATGAGCAGCTCAAAGTCCAGCAACTGAAAGTTAGAAGATTTCAATGACGAGAACTTAATAAAATTCTCAGAATTCATTCATTGAGTTTATTCCCATTTCCCACACACAGCTGAGTGTGTCAGTTTAACTTTGAAAGGGTGTTTTCTTTCATTTGTTTTCTTAATAGAAGTTGAATTATCCGTTAGTTCAAGAAGAAAGAAGACAAGTCCAGATTGCTTGACTAACATCAGTTAATTTGAAATCTCGATTTATTAGTAGGTAATAAATCAATATGGGTCTCAGACATAGCTGCTAATGGGATCATCATAGCATCTCCATGAGTCCAGGAGAGTTTTCATCAAGCTCTGAAATGACTCCCCCATTCCCTCCTCTCCTCCTTCACTAAATAGTGGAAGCCTGTGTACTTGGTGGTTTAGAGTTAGGTGTGTACATCTTCATTATCAAACAGAGTCCATTATAAGATTTAATAACTTCTAAAAATGAGGATGCATCTTGAGACCATACTAAGTGAAATAAATCAGACATACAAATGTCACATGGCTTCTCTTATATGAGAAACCCCGAATATGACTAAAGAGCAAAATAAAAGATAGATAATAGAAAGTAGAGAGATAGATCTTTTTCAAATGGGAAGGGAACAAGAGATAAAGAGAGGGAGAGGGAGGGGAGGAAAAGGGGATGGAAAAAAGAATCAAAGAAAAGAATGGAAGTAGAACTTCTGCAAATGGGAAGGGAACCAAGAGTTGGAAAGAAGCAGGCAGCGATAGGAGGGTAGAGGATGAAAAAAGAATTAAGATGTGTTATGCTCATGTACCAATGCCCCATGATAAATGTAATCATCATGTACTACAAACATGTAGCAAAAAAATAAAAGTAAAAAAATTAAAATGAGGTTGCAAATGGCTATCCTCCAGACTGAATAAGTCCTTTCTTCTGGGGGAGTTGGGGGCATGGATGTGTGTATGTGTGTGTGTGTTCTGCATGGTTTCCCTTCCCCTTCCTTTGCCCTCTCCTCCCTCTTTCATCTTTCTCTTCTTCCAATTTCAAATTGAAGAGATCTTTCATAAAAACCTGAATTTCTTCCTTCCTGCTTCTATTTCAAAATCAGAGGATTTGAATTTTCTAAGTGGCAATGACTAGGTAGCACTTGATGGGCAGAGACTCTCCATGTGGCCCAAGCCCCTCTGCTCTGCTCAACTCATTAACATTAGGAGGGTCCTGTGTGCAGCTGAATCTAAAGGTCTTGCTCTAAAAGTACTGACAGAGTAGACAATCCAACCTACTTCTGAGGGCAGTTTGACCTTGTGCTTCAAGAATATGGATTCTGGAGCAGCCTCCTTGATTGAAATATTGCTTCTACTTTCCAGCTCTATCTCTGTGTGACTGGGTAAGTAACCTCCAGGGCCCCAGTTTCATCTATAAATTAAAGATAATAACCACAGTACTGCCTCATTAGGTTTTCATGAGGAACAGGTTTAGCATTTAGAACAAAGAACATCGTGGCACACATTAAGCACCATGTAAGTATTAGGTTCTTTAAAAAAACCTCAGTATTGAAGCTTTTATCTGTGTTAAAAATTACTCTGACACTCATTAAAATGGCAAGGGAGACTTTATTCTGGACTATAATGATGTTTCAAGGCTACTGAGATGGAGGAAACAATGGGTTCAAATCCAAATACAACAGGAGAAAGAATTTATAGACAAGGAGTGGGTAGAGAACATCAGTGGATGGACAATAAGTGTCTTGCTAAACCACATGAAAAGATTCTTGCTGAAGGCAGACCAGGATGATCAGATGTCAAGGACAGAAGATTCTCTCTAAATTGGCTCAATAGGGCTCCACAAGGATGGCATGAAGCTCAAAGTCAAGGGGGAGGTTTGAGAAGAGGGATTAGATGAGCCTGGCTAATTTTTGCGAAAGGAGAGATTCTCCATCACGTGCATCAGCAAATCGATCTTTCTTATATGACTTTGTAGCTTTATGAATTCTCTCAGACTTGGGCACGCATTGCACTAAGCCACTGGTATCTCAAAGCAAGTCTGTCTCTCTGTACAATGGGACACCCTCAATAGGTAACATGGTGAATGGAGATTTAAAACCTTGCTATTGCAATGTAGTAATACTGCAGGGTAAACATGATCTGGCTTTATAGGGAAGGAAATTGAGGCCCAGGCATTAACTGACCCACTCAAGGATGAGTACTTATAATTTCTTTTGAGCTGAATTGTGATGAATTTGTATGTGTGGGCCATTTCTATTACCTGTAAGTTCAGAAAGGAGAGAGAGAGAGAGAGAGAGAGAGAGAGAGAGAGAGAGAGAGAGAG